GGAGACGGGACCAGAGGGAAGGGGCTTCCCTTCGATCTGATGACGACTGCGATTGCGACCTGGTTCGATTCATCTCGAGTTGACGAGCTTGGCGCGCCAACGAGGGTCTCGGGAGAGATTCTGGGAATGGAAGAACATCGAATAGCATATCGTCTTTGAGAACCACCCGGGGACGACGGGTTCCAAACTCCCTTTACGCACGCCGACAGGGTCAGCGGATTTTGTGGGACTCCTGGGAGTGCCCTCCCTCGTCGACAGGGCTGGATTTGCCTCGAAGTCGTGGCCAGGCTGCGCTCCAGGCGAGATCTGGGGATGAAGGGCAGTTGGAGGAGGATGGGAGATGGGGGGGTTGGAAAGCAGAGAAGGAGGAGGCGGAGGAGGAGGCTGAGGAGAGGGAGTGGGAGGAGGGCCATTTTTCAGCCAGGTCGATCGAGTCAGCATGCCCCCCGCCCATTCCCACCCTCCCTCCCATAACAGAAGACTCGAGTGTGGCACAAGTTGATCTTGGGATTGGGGCGCGTCCCCACCTGGTGAACGGAAGGCGCTCGCGCGCGGTCCTGCTTCCGACGACCTGGCGAAGGACAACCAAGCGGGCTGCGCAAGGGCGGGAGCGGCAACCCGCTCGACGACCGTCGCGAAGACGAAGCGGGCGCCGCGCCGACACAGCACGGCTGCTCTCACGCGCCAGCGGGGCTGCGCGTGTACGCGGAGAGCACACCTCGCACGCTCTCGCGCGCGCGGCCCCGCTGCCGCTGCTGCCGCCGTGCGCTGCCGCGCACGACACGTGCGCTGCGCCCGCGCGGGAGAGCGCCGCTTCCGGGCGACAGGGGCGCGCAGCATGGGGCGAACGGGCGACGTGTCGCCCAGTCGCGCGGCCCCCCCCCAAAAAAACTTGGACAGGGATGCGACGCGCTGCCGCGGGAGCGCGAGTCTCAAGCGAAACTGGCGCGGTGCTGCGGCGAGGACCAGCAGTTTCGTCCGCTCGCGCGGCGACGATGTGAAGCGCGAGAGATGTGCGCCGCGCCCGACCTGGATCGCGACTTGCCAGCAGCATGAGCGCGGCGCCGTGGCAGAGCGACACCTGGCTTTTTTCGCAAGGGATGCTTCCCTGTTCTGCCACGTAGCTTCCGACGTGAACGACAACACGTCCATGCTGAGTGCAAAAGCGTTGACTTTCGCATTGTCTTTACCAGCCTGGATGGGCTCCCCTGGATGGGGTTGCCATCGGCTTGCTACGTGGCAATGTACGGGCAGACACTCGTCAGGAATAAGGATGAAAGCGGGGAGAAGTCACCGTGACCGTCGTCGTCGTTGCTGCAGGAGGAGCAAGGGTCGGACGAGACGGAGGCGCAGGAGGCGAAGTCGTCGCCGTCGCCACCGCCGCCGCCGCCGCCGCCGCCGCCGCCGCCGCCGTCGTCGTCGTCGTCGTCGTCGTCGCCGTCTTCGGAGGGTGAGGCCGCGGAGGAGGAGGGGGAGGATGAGGAGAAAAGGATGGGGCGGATACGGGGAAGATGAGGAGGGGGAGGATGAGCAGGAGGGGGAGGAGGAGGCGGAAGAGGAGGAGGAGGAGGAGGAGGAGAAGGAGGAGAAGGATGATGAGGAGGAGGAGGAGAAGGAGGAGGAGGGGCAGGAGGAGGAGGAGGAGGAGGATGATGAGAAGGAGGAGGAGGAGGAGCAGGAGGAGGACCAGAGTAAGCACACCGGCTCGTTTTGGGCCGTGTCACCGTCAAGCCCCGGCGGCGCGCACGAGCGCCCAGGAGTTGTGGGCATTCTGTGGTCTGGGCCTTGAACAGCCTTGCAAAGCCGGAGCCCTGGGGCACTCCACTGCGTGCTGAAAGCACGGTGGCGGATAAGAGGTGTAGCGGCATGTCCTCCGCCGACTCTGCGCTTGGCAGGGTGATCCAGGACCCTGCGAACCCATCGGAAGATTCGAAACTCTCGCGGGGCACCTGTGCACCCGTTGGCAGGCCAGATTTTTGTTGTGTGCCTGCTGCAGTTTCCTACGCTGGTTGTCTGTCCTTGGGGCGTGCCCTGGCTCGCGCATGTCACAAGAGCTGCGAGGCGACGCGTGCGAGGGCTCGTGGGCAGCTCAATCTTTCTGGGCTGCTTGTCGCACGCTGGCCGCGCTGAACAGTTTTCGGTAAGCTGTTTGGTGGGTTCGCCATGCTTCCAGTGAAGTGATTGCCCCAGGCCTCCCCCCAGGCTAGTCAGCCGATCACCAAATTTATTGAGGACCCGAGCCGCACGAGTAGCACATCAACTTTAGACGCGCCTGTGGGATTCCACGCTGTTTCTTCTCACCGACGTAGCGCGTAGACGCGCGTGTGGGTTTCCACGCTGCTTCCTAACACCGACGTAGTGCGTCTTCAGCGGAGGACGTTTCGTCGGAGACTTGCGGAGTCAGCCGTGCTTGTGTTGCGAGACAGTGGCTCGCTCGCGCTGAAGCCAGGGCTGCGCGTATGTGTAGCGTTCGGGAGCGTTGGTTTTTTCCCCTACGGGGTCGTCGTGTGTCCCGACCCATTCCCCGTGACTGGCTTTTCATCCCGCGTCGTTTCTTGACGGCCTTGGGGCCTGGCGAGGGCCCCCGAGGGCCGAACGCAGCAACGCCAACGGAGAAGAAATCGCGCCCTGGTTTTTCACGATGCGATGCGGCATCCAGCTGCCCATGAACTTCCCCAGAGGAGACGCATGGCGTGGTGGAGCCACCGGGCTGATTGAGCGCTCCAGCCAGCGAGGGCTGCGGGGTCCTCTGCGGCGTGATCGGGGCGGACTCCATCGTGCCCCCGGCGTGCTGTGGGGCCCCCGTCGCTCCCCCCGCCCCTCGTGGCCCTCTGGTGGCCCCCTCGCGGCTCTGGGGGTGGCCTTCCGGCGTGCTGTTGCACGCCCCCAGCCCGCCGCCTGGCTCTTTCGGGCCAGACAGAAGGGGGGGATTGGGAAAGGGGGGGGTACGAAATTTGCTGCATGCAGCTGGTTTCGGCCTCACCGAGGGGCCCATTCCTCGATACAGAATCGTGATGGTGATGCTGATGGTGATGACGATCATGATGCTGCTGCTGATGCTGATTAAGATGCTGATGCTGGGAGGGGGTGTGCTGATGATGATAATGCTGATGCTGATGCGGATGATGCTGACAATTCTGATGCTGATGCTGACGATTTTGTTGATGATGCTGCTGCTGATGATGATGATGCTGCGACTGCTGATGATAAGGAGTCTGATGCTGATGATGACGATGCTGATGATGACGATGATGATGATCATCATCATGACAATGATGATGCTGATGCCGATGATGACGACGACGACGTTGATGATGATGATGATGATGATGATGACGACGACGACGACGACGTTGATGATGATATGATGATGCTGATGCTGATGCGGCTGCTAATGCTTCTGCAGCTGATGATGCTGATGCTGAAGCTGATGCTGATGAGGATGAGGATGCGGATGAGGATGAGGATGCAGTTGTTGATGATGCTGGCGATGATGCTGATGATGCTGGTGACGATACTGATGATGATGATGATGACGACGCTGATGATGATGATGATGATGATGATGATGATGATGGTGATGATGATGATGATGATGATGCTGATGTTGATGCTAATTCTGATGATGATGGTGCTGATGATGCTGATGATGCTGATGATGCTGACGACGAAAATGATGCTGATGCTGATAGTGATGACGACGATGATGATAGTGACGCTGATGATGATGCCGATGATGATGCTGATGATGATGATGATGCTACTCATAATGTTGATGATGCTGATGATGATGGGGAGAACGCGGATGAGGATGAGGATGTTGTTGATGATGCTGATGATGCTGATGATGACGATGATGATGATGACGCTGATGATGATGCTGAGGATGATGCTGGCGATGATGATGATGCTGATGATGTTGACGATGATGACGGATGCTGATGATGATGATGACGTCGATGATGATGATGGTGATGACGATGATGACGCTGATGATGATGATGATGATGATGCTGATGATGATGATGCTGTTGACGACGACGAGGACGAGTAGGTGGTGGAGGATACGTAGGAGGAGGAGGAGGAGGAGGAGGAGGAGTTGGATGATGATGATGGCAATGATGATGATGATGATGATGATGATGATGATGATGATGATGATGACCATGATGCTGATGATAATGCTGCTGCTGATAATGATGATGATGATGATGATGATGATGATGATGATGATGATGATGATGATGATGATGATGATGATGATGATGATGATGATGATGATGATGATGATGATGATGATGATGATGATGATGATGATGATGATGATGATGATGATGATGATGATGATGATGATGATGATGATGATGCGGATGAGGAGGAGGAGGAGGAGGAGGAGCATCTATGCTGACAGGGTGGACGATCAGGAGAAGTAGGAGGAGGAGGAGGAGCTGGTTGAGGACAGGGAGCAGCAGTGGTGTTGGAGGAAGAGGAGAAGCTGGAGGAGGGGGTGGTGAGGAGGACGGTTTGGAGGATGAGATGCTTGACGAGGGGGACGAGGACGCTGCAGCAGGAGGATGATGGTGGTGGTGATGGTGACGATGATGCTGCTGATACTGGTGCTGATGCTGCTGATGCTGATGGTGATGCTGATGATACTGCTGATGATGTTGATGATGAACATCGTCGGAGGAGGACGGTCGGAAGGATGATGCTGCTGATGATGCTGCTGATGATGCTGCTGCGGCTGCTGCTGCTGCTGATGATGATGATGCTGCTGCTGATGATGATGATGATGATGCTGATGATGCTGATGATGATGATGATGATGATGAGGAAGAGGAAGGAGGAAGGGAAGAGGAGGAGGAGGAGGGGAGGAGGAGGAGGAGGTGGAGGAGGAGGAGGGAGGAGGAGATGGAGGCCGAGGCGCGGCGCGCAGGGCCAGGCGGGCCGGGCGCGCGCAGGCCCGAGCGGAGGCCGGGATGGACACGCAAAACATCTGAGGGGCGCCCGCCGGGCGTGGGCCCCGCCTCGCCCTCGGCCTCCTCCTCCTCCTCCTCCTCGTCCTCCTCCTCCTCTCTCCTCCTCCTCCTCCTCCTCCTCCTCCTCCTCCTCCTCCTCCTCCTCCCTCTCTGGAAGCGCACTTACCACACAGCTGGTCGTCATTGCGCATGCGCACTCGTGCCACGGAGGCGGCGCGAGCAGGCAATTCTGTCTCAAAGCGTCCTGCGTGAGCGTTTGGCTTCAAATGGCGTCTCCCACACCACTGCCTTTCTGGACATGTCCAACGTCTTTGCCTGTGCAGACCAGCAAGAGCTCAAGGGGGTATGCGGCGGCTGTCTGCAACGACACTGATGCCCGACACTTGTCTCAGCGCGTCCAGTATGCCTCAGCCAGAATGCGTTGTTTGGATGGGTTTGCAGAGCTTGACATTTGTCAGGGGACGCTTCCTGAGGACACGGTGGGAGGACCATTGTTTTTGTCTCCATTTCAACATACACTGGACGACCCCAGGCTGCGCAATTACGCCATCAATATGGAGTGCAATTGCATGCCCGAGGTCTTGCGCGATCCACGCGCCTCCCAGACAGTGGGCGTTGCTCGGAGCACGTACGCGGACGACGTGGCGCACGCGCTGGCCATCACAACGCTCGCGAGCTTCATCACGAAGGTTCTGTCGTTTCACGATGACTTCAAATCTGTCATCAACCCGCACGGGTACCAGCATAATTTTGACAAGGCGGAGAACCTGGTCAGGTTCGTCTGGACAGGGTCTGGCGCGTGCACGAAGACAGCATACACGACCCGGAACATCGTGCCTGGCGTGGTCAAGCGTGCAGTTCGGTATCTGGGTCCACACCTCCGATTTGACAACGGCCTCTCTGTCGAACGTGAACGCCGTGCTACGGCAACCAGACAAGCGTACTACAAGTTCGGCAAGTTCTGGGCCAGGTGCCGCAACGCACGGTGGACGTTCGTCCTGTTCAAGAGTCTCGTCCACGGCACTGCACACAGTGCACTCGTCTGCTTCGTTCTCAACCAGACAGACCGCCAAGTCATCGACAGCACGGTCGTATCGTTGGCGAGCACAGCCCTGCACGGTGCCTGCGCCATCACGGAATACCCCAGCGGCGCCAAGAGCTACCGGGCCCGGTCAAACCATGATGTTCTCCGTAAATTGCGACTCTTGCCTGCTGACGTGGAGTTGCGAGTGCAACGTTACGGTGGATGCAGGCGACGGCCCGGTACCCAGCTGACAACGCGTTGGTGCTGGCTGTCTTGTACGGCGCCCCCGAGGAGGACAAGAAGCCTGTTCTTTCCAATGCCGGCCGTCTGCTCCCAAGTCCACACCGTTGGGCGTTGCAAATCGCCGACGGTCTGGCTGCGCTGGCAGACATCACTGGCTCCTCAGACATTGCCGACGCTGTGCAGTACCCGCTCCGGCTGTTCACGGACAGCGGGATCAAGGATGCGTTCTTGTTGACGGATGCAGGCGTTATCGGTTCACGTTTCTTTTCTGTTGCTGTACCTCCTCCTGAATATGATCCTCCTCTTCATCTGGTTTGTGTTCACCTTCCTGATCGTAATATGCAATATGTATGTGATATCGTGGATGTGTGGTGTGGGGATGTGTGCAGGCAATCATTCAGTACGGCAAACGGGTTACGTGTACATCAGTTATAGAATTGACAGGGGACATGTACTTACACGTACTAAGCAATGTATCAGTTGTCGTGCCGTGCATGCTACTAAACGTATCACACAATGTCACTTTCATGCGAGCCTTCGCCGTGATTTCTGCAGGGAGGCGTGGTCGAAGGAGTCTAACACGGTACGAGAGGTCATTCCACTGTCGTATCCCATCGAATGTCCGCTTCGCGAAGATGGCCGTCGCTTTTTGGATCATTATTCGTATTTCTTTCATTTGTAAGCTCATTTTCGGGAGGATTTTTAGTTCGGCTTCGAGTGTCCTGAATAACTTGGCGGACGTGTGGAAGCTCTTCCTCGGCTAGGACACGGAGCCGAGGTCCCAAAAGAGAGCGGGTGGAGGAGACGACGAGCCAGCTTTGATCCGGGAGCTCATTGCAGTCATCACGAAGCTAGGTTTGAAGAGCGCGCAGGAGATGAGGGCCGTCATGGGCGTCACCTTCGTGTGCTTTTTTGTGCGATGTCAGAAAGAGCGCGTTCTGTGGTCGCTTGGAGGGGAGCAAGACCCCCCCCCCCCCCTCTGGATGGGGAGGGGGGTTCGAGCCCGCCCCCCGCCCCCCTCCCGTGACGGGGGGGTTTGACGCCCCCCCCCCGGGTTTGCCCCCCCCTCAGAAAAACCTCTCCTCCCTCTCTTCGGCTGGCGGCGGCGGCGGGGACCACGATTTCCTTTTCTGGGCCGGCGCCGGCGGTTGCGGCGGCGGGCGGCGGCGGCGGGGAGCGTCGACGAGGACGACGGTGGTGGTGGTGGTGGTGGTGGCGGTGGTGGCGGTGGCGGTGGTTGTGGTTGTGGTGGTGGTGGTGTGGTGTTTGTTTGTGGTGGTGGTGTGGGGGGTGGTGGTGGTGGTGCTGCTGGTGGTGTGGTGGTGGGGTGGTGGTTGTTTGTGGTGGTGGTGGTGGTTGTGGTGGTGGTGGTGGGTTGTGGTGGTGGTGGTGGTGGTTTGGGGGTGGTGTGGTGGTGGTTTGTGTTGGTTGTGGTGGTGGTAGTGGGTTGTAGTGGTGGCAGTGGTTTGCGGAGGTGGTGCTGGTGGTGTTGGTGGCGGCGGTGGTGGTGGTGGTTTGAGGGTGGTGTGGTGGGGGTGGGTCATGCTGCTGGTAGTGGTGGTGGTTGTGGCGGTGGTGGTGGTGGTGGCGTGGTAGATTGCGGTGGTGGCGGTGGTGGTAGTGGCGGTGGGTTTTCGTGGTGGTGGTGGTGGCGATGGTGAGTGGTGGTGGCGGTGGTGGTTGTGGTGGTAGTGGTGGCTGTGGTGGTGGTGATGGTTGTATGGTGGGTTGGTGGTGGTGGTGGGTTGAGTCGGTGGTGGTGGTGGTAATGGTGGTGGTGGTGGTGCTCGTGATGGTTATCGTTGCTGCGTCCCCGCTGTCGCCGGCGCCGCCGCCGGCGCTGCTGGCCGCCGCCAGCGCCGGCGTCGGCGACAAGGAGGCGCCCCCCCCCCTTCGGTGCCGCGCGGGGGGGGGGGGGGGGGCCCTTCGGTGCCGCACCCCCCCCCTTCGGGGCCGGGGGGGGGGGGGGGGGGGGGTTGGACCCCCCTTGCCCCCTTGGATTGCCTCTGGTCATCGTCGCTGCGCCCCCGCCGTCGGCGCTGCTGGCGGCCGCCGGCGCCGGCGCCAGGGGTTGTTGAACCCCCCCTTGGGCTGCTTCTGGTCGTCGTCGCTGCGTCCCCGCCGTCAGCGCTGTTGGCGGCCGCCGGCGACGGCGCCAGGGCCCCCCCTCCCCCTGGGAAGGGGGGGCGGGGTTGAACCCCCCCCCCTCCCCTTTGGGCTGCCTCTGGTCATCGTCGTTGCGCCCCCGCCGTCGGCGCTGCTGGCGGCCGCCGGCGCCGGCGCCAGAGGTGGGGGGTTCGGAAGGTGGGGGGGTTGGGGGGGGCCCCCTGGTTTGGATCGACGGCTCCGAGCGTTCGGGCCCCCCCCCCCCGAGGCGAGCGCCCGTGAAACGCGTTCTCTCGTCAGTCACCATCGATATCGCGCAGGCCGTGGCAACCCAGACCACGACGCACGCAGACCGCGCCAGGGAAAGGTCAGGGCACGGCGAAGGCGGTCCTGATCCGCCGCGTTTCGTCGCCATGCTGGTGGCGTTGCTCGGGCGCGTGGCCTGCCCGGAGCCGTGCAGGGAAGCCTTCGCTGAGTCCTTTGAGAAGTTCCCGCCGCCGTCAGAGCCGGGCCCGTCCGCAGAAGCGTTGCAGGCCGTCATTCCTCGCTGCCCGTTGAACAAGGCGTACGACGACACCGCGAAACAAGTCCTACTTCCGTTTGAGCGGCCCTGGACACGAGGAAATGGAAGCTCACGTCTACGCCGCGATTGCTGACATCTACGCGAAGAAGCAGGCCAACCGCATGTGCGGCCAGGCGCCCGCGGGCTCTCTTGAGAAGAGGGCGCAGGAACTCCTGGCCCAGCTCGGAATGGACAAGCAGTGATTTCGGCAGCGTCTGCCATCCCAGATTTGAGAGAATCATGTGTTCTTCCAGATTGCCATGCCCCCCTCCGCTGCTTGCCTGTTTTCTCCCCCCTGCCTCTTTTCCGCGGTTTCTGCTGTGGCGCTCTCTTTTTCTCCTGGTTCCGCGGCTTCTCTCGCTCCTCTCGCCCGTCGTTCCCCCCTCCTTCTGTCGCCCCCCTTTCGCCCTCGTCGTTGCTAGGGCGTGGCAAAGCAAACATTGTTTTTAACGCGTGTCTTCCGTATGCGCACGCGCGTGTGTCATTCCATGTATCGTTCCAGAGTGGGCGGCCAACCCGCCCCGCGTGGCGGCCTCTGGCGAGTCCGCCGCAGCGGCGCGGGCGCAGTCGGCAGCTGGCCGGGCTCTTTCTACTCCCTCTTCCCTTCTCGCCCCCCCCCGTCCCCCTCCCTCCCCCGCCCTTTTCCCTGGCAGGCTGCGAGGCGTCCATCAAAAGTGCGGTTACTTGTGATTACCAGGTCTGCCAGATATTCTCGCCGTGCACAGAGGGTCACGCCGCGCAAAGGAGAGCCGAGCCTCCTCCTCCTCCTCCTCCTCCTCCTCCTCCTCCTCCTCCTCCTCCTCCTCCTCAATTCTCGGGTTTCCCTTCCCCCCGTCCTCCTCTTCCTCCTCCTCCTCCTCCTCCTCCTCCTCCTTCTCCTCCTCCTCCTCCTCCTTATCCTCCGCCTCCTCCTCCTCCTCCTCCCCCGAGTCCTCCTGGCTGACTGAGTGACTCCTGGCATTCGAGGTCCAAGATCGCTGCCGCCGTAAAGTCCCCCCCCCCTCCTCCTCCTCCTCCTCCTCCTCCTCCTCCTCCTCCTCCTCCTCCTCCTCCTCCTCCTCCTCCTCCTCCTCCTCCTCCTCCTCC